TCACTGGGAGTGCCGGACGGAATCCGGTGCTGGTCAGCTGCTGCAAGGCCCGGACCAGCGAGAGCTTGAAAGCAGGCCGAGGCATTGCCCTTCACCTGGAAGCGCAAGGGGAAGGGAATCCCTTTTCCTAGCCAGGGGAACTGAGACACCACAACACCTGGAAAATCGGGTAACTCCCACCCCAATACTGCGCTTTAAGCGAACAGGCACCACCAGGACGATCATCCCACACCTGGCCGGGGAGAGTCCGCACACCCACGGAGCCTCCCTCATTGCTAGCACCAGCAGTCTGTGATCTACCGGCAACGCAGCAGCGAGACTGGGAGTGCCCCGCCATGCTGAGGCTAAGTAGGCGTAAACAAAGCTTGCTGTGGGAAAAATAAATAGCATTTTAATCATAACTTAAATGTAATTTTCTGAAAGTTTACATCAATGTATTGGCTGGCTTATGACAAGTCATACAGTCGTGACACCCATCCATAGATGAATCATCTATGTAACTTTCCATAGATGAATCTCAATGAGAATAAAGTACCAACAACAACAGCAAAATCACTGTCCCACAGTAAGAGTACAGGAAGTTGAGTGCAAATAAATAACTGGGTATATGCCCAAAGGATTATAAATCATTCTACTATAAAGAAACATGCACACATATGTTTATTGCAGCACTATTCACAATAGCAAAGACTCAGAACCAACCCAAATGCCCATCAATGATAGACTGGATAAAGAAAATGTGGCACATATACACCATGGAATATTATGCAGCCATAAAAAAAAGGATGAGTTCATGTCCTTTGCAGGAACATGGATGAAGCTGGAAACCATCATTCTCAGCAAACTAACACAGGAAAAGAAAACCAAACGCTGCATGTTCTCACTCATAAATGGGAGTTGAACAATGAGAACACATGGACACAGGGAGGGGAACATCACACACCAGGGCCTGTTGGGGGCTGGGGGCGCTAGGGGAGGGAGAATATTAGAAGAAATACCCAATGTAGATTACAGGTTGATGGGTGCAGCAAACCATCATGGCATGTGTATACCTCTGTAACAAACCTGCACATTCTGCACATACATCCCAGAACTTAAAGTATAATTTAAAATAAATAAATAAATAAACAAACAAACAAACAAACCAGCATTATGGACAGCCATATTCTGGAAACCCCTTAACAGTGAATTGCTAAATAATCCATGGCCCAAATTCTGTCAGTGTTTACCTTGAAAATGCTACCTGTTGAGGAAACAATTTCTGTTTCATGATAATCTTATGGCACTTTAAGTTTTCTAATTATAAAAGTGTTTAAACAACTTTTAAAAGTCCCTCAAAATCATACTAATATAGCTATCCATATGCCAGTGTCCTGAATTATCCAACTTTTACCAAACATACTGTCAAAAACACCAATGAAAGGAAACAGTGGCTGTCATTCATTGAGCTCTTTTCTGGAATTTCTATCCTGTTTCACTGAACCGTGTTTTGTCCTGAGCCAATACTGAAGTACCTTATAGTACAGCCATATTTGAGTATTATGCATCTTAAACAGAACCAGTCACTTTCTCTTACAGCATAGATGATAGGAAGAATCATCATCTTGAAACGAAATATGAATTCTGTCTCCATGACTCAAGTGTTCTTTGGTAAACCTCAACCCATGAGCCTCAGTTTTCTTATTTATAAAATGGGGCTAACATCCCTATGCAAATGGGCTTTATTCAGGGTGTTACAAGGTAGGGTGACTTGGCACTCTACGTGCTATTAAAGGGTGCATACAACACTGTGGACACCACAGCTGAGAAGATGATACAACATTCTAAGAAGATCAGATTACACTAGTGAAATAATGTACATTTTCTTACATCAGATGGTTTCAAAACTCAAGTTTTGTTGGAATGCAGAGCCCCTCCCATTCGAATCTCCAGGGTGGAGTTGAGAAGATGCAACACAGTGCTGGGTGCTCTTCACTGGACACCTCTACCAAGCGCTCTACACAACTCAAGGCTGTAGTCACCTAAGTCCTAATTTAGCAAGGACTGTATTTGCAAGCATACAAAGTAGATCGCAAAGAAAAAGAGAAGATTCATTATATCCAGAGACTGCATAAAATGGCAAACTATACTCTTCACTTTTACAGCCAAATTTCAGCAAATGTTTGCGATCCTTTCCTAATGTTTTCTTTCCTCCCCTTACTGGTCATGGCATAATGCGTGATGCACACATAGGCCTCCTCCCCTTCCCACAGACATCTTTTTTTCCCTTCCCAGCACCTTGAATCTCAGCTGCACCCTGATCTTCTTCTCTTTCCTGACCAGGTGTAGGATCCCGACTTTCAGTTAGTGGTTCCTCTTCTTGAGACTCTTCATGACTGGGCTCCCGGGACTAGGAGCAGTGAGTGTGTGTAAATACACTGACATACATCTCAATAATATAAGTATACAGAATACATAGATACTTCTGATCATAAGTCTAAAGACATTTCTCCAACACTATTTCATATTCTTAATGTTTCATAAAGTTACTCTTCCCACAGAGAGTTTACTCTAAGACAGTCACCCTCAAGGGCTTTGGAAGCCATTTTAATCTATCTTGGTACAGATGTGTGCAATCAGTTATCAATAAGCACAAGAAGGAAGTCATGGGCGAAAAACCGGGGAACAGAAGATCATCCATTCAGACAAAACCAGAACATAATCCTCTTGGATTAGTCTGTCCTTCATGAGATGCCATGATCACTTTTTTATCAGCACGGAAGACCTTTACCAGTGTATGTATACTAGTTTAACAACACTATCACAAAAATAACGTTCTGCTAATAGAAAATATTGAATGTTAAGGCATTCACAAGCAGAGGCACAGTCAGCTCAGAAGGTCATAAACTTCATCTTGGTATAGGCCTATATGTTGATCTTCCTTGGTACCTCATATTTCACTCTGCAAACAGAATATCGTGATTGGGAAAATGCACTTGAGAGGATAGCTATATTTGGCCACTTTTATGGACAAATGTTAACTTGTAATTTTTTTTTAATTTGGAAAAACTTTGAAAGTAAGTCCCAGGGGCAAATGTGTGTGTATGTCTTCTGAATTGTATGCTTGCAAAGCAACTTCTTGGTCAAGCTAGCACAGCAATGTCTTAAGGCTCCTGGCAAAGACGCAGGAAATTTTTGATAAGGTTTTTGGTGTCACAATTGAACTCTCCATCACGGAGACATTTAGGAAAATACAGCTAGAGAATTAAAATTTGAGTGACAACGGCTTTTCTCACACACCCATTTGCTAGGCCCATTTGCCCCCTAAAATCAAATTTTGTTGGAATGCAGAGCCCCGCCCATTCAAACCTCCATGGTGGAGTTCAGAAATTGCGACACAGCGTTGGCTGCTCCTCATGGGCCACCTCTGCCAGGCACTCTACAGACCTCAGGGCTGTGGTCACCAGCCCGCGGCATTCCCAGTTTCTAGGCTCCTTCCTTGCCACGCACTTCGTCCCTTCCCATTCCTTCCCACCCACCCAGACTCCCCACCTAGGAGTCTGGAATCTGTCCTCTGTTGGAGGTTCCAGATGCTTCCAGGACTCTGATACCTCCAACAGCAACCCCAGCAGTCGCCCCATCTCCGCCTGACCCCCCTCCACTCTGTGGCCCTCCTTCCTCCCTAGTTGTGGCCCTGCCAAGACCAGAAGGCCCATGGCTGTGGTGCCGCATGAGAAGGACAACGACCTTTAGGCACTTCTACCTCTGAGCCAGGGACCACGCAGCCTGACCCATTTAGAAGCTTACTGGCTCCTCCTCACACTCATTCTCACTTCACCTCCCGGAAGGACTGCCCTGCGGACCTACCCGCTACGTTTCAGTAGGGGAGAAAGAGTTCAGACAGCAGGAAAGCAACCCTCACAACCTCTCAGCTCCATAGCGTTTGCAACGTGCTGCAAAGAGGTCGACCAGAAGAAGCCTAGTGAACATGCGCACTGAGGCGGCCACCCAAGAAGCTTGCGCAGTGAGATCTGACTTTGTCCTGTGGGCTGAGTTGCCCCTCCTTGTCCCGCCACGTCCAGTCCTCCTCTCCTTCCCAGGTCCCCACTAAGGAGGTTGAAATCCGTCCTCTGTGGGCGGATTCATATGCTCTAGGGACTCAAAGACCTCAAATAGTGTACCCCTTCACAACTCACTCCACGTTCAGCTGACCCTCCTCCCCTCCAGGGCTCTCCTTCCTCCCTTGTCTGGTCTCCCCACGACGACGAGGCCATGGCAGCATCACTGCCTTTTAGTGGAAGGATGACCACTTCACAACCCTTTTCTCTATATGGTCATGGATCCAGTCGCCTGATGCACGCAAAGACCACCCACCCCTCCTCACGCTCACTCCCCCTTCAACTTCTGGGAGGAATGATCTGCGGACCTATTGGCTGGATCCTAGTTGGCAAGAACGAAAGAAGTCACCATCTGTCGCCAGGCCCAGTGGCTCACGCCTGTAATCCTAACACTTTGGGAGACCGAGGCAGACAGATTGTCTGAGCTCAGGATTTCGAGAACAGCCTGGGCAACACGTTGAAATCCCATCTCTCCTAAAATTCAAAAAATTAGCCGGGCGTGGTGGCATGCACCTGTACTCCCAGCCACTCGGGAGGCTGAGGAAGAATTGCTAGAACCTGGGAGGTGGAGTTTGCAGTGAGCCAAGATCATGCCACTGCACGCCAGCCTGGGCAACAGAGCCAGACTCCATCTAAAAACAATAAAAAATAAATAAAATAAAATAAAATAAAATAAAATAAAATAAAATAAAATAAAATAAAAAAGTCACCATCTGTCAGGGCTCTGCAGGGACAGGAGACAGACACTAAGGCACATGAGCAACAAAGGACTTGCCCAGCAGGGGGCATGCACACTATTAAGTCAGGCACATGCAGGGCCGGACAGGGTTTTCCTGCTGTCCCCAGACTCACATCCACAGGGTCTCAGGAACATAAAGAAAGGGACTTGAGAGATCTTTTTGTTTTGTTTTGTTTTGTTTTGTTTTGTCTCTTGCCCAACCATTCTCATGCATCCAGAAACTTTGGGAACAGACAGTCCCATATCACCCTTAGTGGAGGACGTGTCTCAGAAAGACCTTTTGTGAAAGAACTAAATTATTTTCATATCTATATTTATAAATGCTTTTCTTCAGACAGGATGTTGCTCAGTCACCCAGGCTGGAGGGCAGTGGCATGACCATACCTCACTGCAACCTCGATCTCCTGGGCTCAAGAAATCCTCAAGAAGCAGTTCCCCTGAGAGGCTGGTACTATATGTGTGGACACCACACCTGGGCAATTGATTGATTTATTTTTTTAGACAGTGGTCTCACTGTGTTGCTCAGGCCGGTCTTGAATTCCTGGGCTCAAGTGATCCTCCCACCTTGGCCAATTTTTATACATGTTTTGATTAACCAATTTTTATTTGGTTCTGTGTTTTCTGTAATGCTTGCAATGAGTTTAACTAAATTCTAATGCAAACTAAATAAATACACACCTGTTTACTATTTTTAGGTTGTGTTATTGCACATTTAAGTCTCTGGAATAGTAACAGATTTACATGAATATACCTGTAGGTCATTCAGGCAGTGTATAGTTCAGAAATCTCCATAGATGTTGATGGTAGGATCTAGGCTCAGTCTACTATGACATGATGCACAGCAGTAGTGACTGTGCTCATCATAAACTGTACTCCCCAAATAGCATCCAAATAACCTGTTCATAAGGCAGCTCCAACATTATTTGCATAACACTGTAAGGAAGAGCACTACCTCAAAAGAGCCACTAGTATGTCAGATGTGGACTGGCTTTACGCACATTTATTCTGATTTTGAAATCTGGTGTAAAGTGGGTCTTTTAAAGTCGGGGACAGTTTTGTTAGAATTGGGTAGGAATCATAATGATTTAGGATTGATGGAGTCAACAAGACAAGGATTTTTAGACTAGGGCTTCAAAGAGTTTTGGGATTGAAAAACGTCATTTGACACTTTTTATTGAGGAGTTGATGGATCTTTCAGGCAGCTGCTGAAATGAACAGTAAAGTTCTTTGCAACGTTTATTTTCCTAAGCAAGAGATTCTTGTATTAGTAAACTTATGTTGATGAAGCTAGTGGAGTATAAACTCACACTAACGTAGACAGTAAGCTGTGTGCATGATTCCTGTTGTCTTTACTTTTATATTACTTAGCAGTTTAATGTGGGAAATAGTACATGAAAAGGAAGCATAGGAAGGGGGCCCTGATCAGACGTAGCTTTTTGTAAGTAAATTAGGAAATATAGTTGAGGTGACTCCTATATATTCCATCCAGCTGGGTTTCCCTTAAGGAAATGCCTTGAGTAGGAAAAGAGAGATGTCTCAATTTCTCTGTCTCTAAAAAGCAGCTGGAGTAGGAATTGTGGTTCTTCAAGGTGTTCATTTGTTTGTTTAGATGAAGTCTCACTCTGCCACCCAGGTTGGAGTGCCGTGGCACAATCTCGGCTCACTGCAACCTCCACCTCCCAGGTCCAAGTGATTCTCCTGCCTTGGCCTCCCTAGTAGCTGGGACTACAGGCATGCGCTACCACTCCTGGCTAATTTTTGTATTTTTAGTAGAGATGGGGTTCCACCATGTTGGCCAGGCAGGTCTTGAACTCCTGACCTAGTGATCCACCCGCCTTGGCCTCCCAAAGTGCTGGGGTTACAGGTGTGAGCCACCGCACCCGGTCCTCGTTTTGGTTTTGGTTTTGTTTTGTTTTGTTTTGTTTTTGTTTCTTTTTTGGAATAAGAGCTGTCATAATCCTGACCTAATATTTAGTGTATCTTTTATCTTTCTTGTTAATTCTAGTTTTTAGTATAGTGCACTCAGAAGTTCTCAAAGAATGGGAGATAGTGATTTCTGGATTTAGACTTTCTGTGAGCAACTAATTAGCACACGATCAAAGTCACAGCATCAGATGGCTGCATAGTTGTGCTTCACGGAGACCTGGATTTTAATGATTGCTGAGTAGCCACAATCACTCCAGCTTAAAAGGGCGATGTTTAACCTCATGCCAAATTTAAGCTTCTTCCCACCATTCTTGTGGGAGATAACCCTTGACCAGCTGGATGAGTTCAAAGAATGATAATTTTAAAGAAATGAGATAAAATAATTAGTAAATAGTATCCATTGCATACAAAATATACAAATACATGGCATACCCACATATACATACTTATATTTCATTTGTGTACTGAAATATATACAAACTGTGTATTTCTCATGCATTATAATAAAAGAGTTTGAAGGTCACTACCTTAGAGATTATGAGACAAAATGTTGAGAGGCCCTTTCTTTAGCCATCTGTGAAGATGATGGATTAAGACTTGCTCAGAATAAATTCACTGTTGTCTGTAGCTTTCTACATAATGCTTTAAGTAACTCTCAGTGATGTTTAAATTGGTCAGTTTTATTGTGGGCATTTGACCCTTAGCAAACTCATTTGCGAACTCCTGAGTTGGTGAGAAAAAATCTAATTAGTGGTGGGGCTTTAGTTCCTACCATGTGTTTCTGCAGCTACAGGGTGTGTTCATGTGTGTACTTCTGCACTCGTCTGATGGTGCTTTGATGTGTTCCCTTTCATTTCCCCCCTTTATTATTGACTGTCTCTTGTGGTTCCTACTATGTACTTCATTAGCATCTAGTGACAGTGCCATCTGTGGTATTTGGATTTGATCCATTTTACACGTATTCCAAAATATTTTCAAGTGTGAATATATATTCTTACCAACTTTCCTGTAAGTACTTGGAGGAGTCCAATGCAATTAAATATGGATATTTGATGTTACGTTTTACTGGGCAATAATTCTACTGCATTTATAATAGACTAACAGTCGTTACACTTGAGGTATGTCACCATCAGGCTTACATAAATAACACATTGACCAAGACATAGAATGA